GTATTCTTGAATGTACATCACCTTCTGGCTTGTAGCCAAAATCGTTCTTTACCTCCAAATTCCATGTGTGCCTTTCCCTGGATCCTTTGGCATCTATGGAAGGCCCAGAATGCTCTTGCATTTAAGCATATCAAGTACGATCTCCAGAGCATTCTCAACAAAGCATTGGAGGATGCGGGTATATGGTTTTCTTTAAATAGATCACATGGCGTGAATATATGCTCAACAACTCAAGCTTCGGCTCCCCAAGTTGACCTTGTTAATATGGGAGCGGTGTGGGATAATGGAAACAATGATGGGGGAGTTGCTTGGCTGATTAGGGATCATACGGGTGTGGGGCTATACCATAGCCGGAGATCTTTTAAGTTGGACTCTATCTTAGAAACAGAATTGATGTGTCTTATCTGGTCAATTGAGTCCCTTAGAAATCTCAGGTTCACTTGTGTCATCTTTGAAGCTAACTTTGATCAGGCCAAGGAAGCCTTGTTGCATCCTCACCGTTTCCTCCACCTCAAAGGTATGCTTGACCACACTTATCTCCTTCTTGGTTTGATTGATTGGTGGAGTTTGAACCACACCTATGCCTCTGGTAATCAAGTTGCCCTTGCAATTGCTGAGAGTGTTATCAAAGACGGTCGTCACCAATCCTACATTGCAAGGAATGGGCCGAGTTGGCTTCAACAGATTGTTTCGGCGGAAGCATTATGAGTTCGAATTCTTCTCGGTCTGGTTTCCTAAGGTTTATGGAGCCATAAACTGGTCTGGTAAGCTTGGTATATCTCTTTGGTCGAGTTTGGCTCTTCATAATATGGGTGTATGGTACCTACTAGTACTTGTTTTTTTTTAAAACCTTGTTGGTCTTCTTGTCTTTCTCCTTTTATGTGTTCTTGGGTTAAATTTTTGTAGCTCCCTTTAATTTTCAGCTACTTAATAAATCATAAAGTGTTAAAAAAAATCTCATTTTGATACTTTTAATTGTTTTGCAATGGTTTAGCCGTAGCTGCTTTTCTGATCAACGATTAATTATTTAATATATAAATTTATAACTATATTGTTAGCAAAGGAAAAAAAAAGAAACATTAACCATTTTTTTTTTATTCTAACAGAATGACTATGTTTTGTTTGAGAGAAAAATGCATCTACCATTTGAAACATAG